CCCACGGGCCACGGGCCACGGGCCAAACAGGCAGCGGCGCGCGCCTGGTGTCCTAGGGCTCCAGCCCGGTGCCCAGTGAGGCCGTCCGGGAGGTGTGCCCCTTGTGACGTAGCCCGCATCTGATTGGTCGAGGCCACAGAAGGCGGTGCTAGGCCTCTCCCACCCCCTACAAGGCGCTCTGTGACGTGTTTCCTGTGGTGCCAGGGCCCCTCCCACTTAGGCTCCTCCCACTGGGCCCCCAGTTGGGCTGTGATCTCCAAATAGGGCACAAAAGAGAGGAACCTAGGTTGTGGAATATACCTTTGTTAAAGTTGGAGTGAATTTAGTCTGACCCTGGGCTAAAGAACAGTCATAGAGTTTGCCTAGACATCCATTCAACTTTTTGGCCTCAGGACCCGTTGGCTTTTGTTTATGTGGGTTCAATCTAGCGATACTCCATTAGAAATGAAAACAATAAAAAAAATCCATTAATCAACTTAATAGCAATAAACCCATTACACGGTATCATAAATCATATTTTTATAGAAAAAATACTTTTTCAAAACAAGATTTAGTGAAGAATGGCGTCATTTTACTTTTTTTTTTTCTTCATCTCTCCGGCTTAGTCAAAGAGAGCTTGATTCTTTTATCTGCTTCCGCATTCAATCTTTTGCTGTATCACATGTACAGGGAACTCCCCTGTACACTTAAGAGAGAATGAGAGTGGAAAAGTCCAATATCATGATTATGGAAACAGTTTAACTTTGCAAAATTCCCCTGAAAATTTTTTTGAGATTCCCAGAGTGCCCTGGCCCATAGCAATATCAAAATGATTGAAGCTTGCTGGCTGCATTTATAGTGATGTGTCTAAACTTAGCATGCAGTGATTATTTCCACTAAAACGCTATAACACAACCATGATTTTATTTTTGGCCTTTCTTGACATCTGATTTCTCTCCACATTCTCATTCTCTCTCTGGCCCTATATTTTTTTGCTTTGATAAATGGTGAGGCAACACCAATAGAGGTCACTTAGTTCTAAGAGAAAAATGATTAACCAATGAACTCTCTAATACCCTAGATCAGTGGTCGGCAAACTGCGGCTCGTGAGCCACATGCGACTCTTTGGCCCCTTGAGTGTGGCTCTTCCACAAAATACCACATGCGGGTGTGCATGTACAGTGCAATTGAAACTTTGTGGCCCATGCGCAGAAGTTGGTATTTTGTGGAAGAGCCACACTCAAGGGGCCAAAGAGTCGCATGTGGCTCGCCCTAGATAATAAAAGGCTAATATGCAAATTGACCAAATGGCTGAATGACCGGTCGCTATGACACACACTGACCACCAGGGGGAGACATTCAATGCAGGAGCTGCCTCCTTGTGGTCAGTGCATTCCCACAGGGGGAGCACTACTCAGCCAGAAGCCTTGGCAAGCATAGCAGCAGTGGCAGGAGCCTCTCCCGTCTCCACAGCAGCACTAAAGATGTCCAACTTATGGCTTAGGCTCGCTCCCACATCCAGAGGGACTGCGAGAGGGCACAGGCCAGGCTGAGGGAACCCTGCCCCCCACCCCCCCGTGCACGAATCTCATGCACTGGGCCTCTAGTTTCATCATAAAGGGTAGTAGATTCAAAAGGGTGTGTGTGCTATATCACCAGAACAAACTGCTAACTTTGAAAGGCTAAATATAAAGCCTGGACCTGGCACTTAGTAAGCATATGAAATGAACAGTAATAAGAAGCTGATTGGGAGTAGATGTCATTGTGAACAAAGCAATGTGGGAAGTTACAAAGCATATTTGTGGAAGAGCGAGTGATCCAGAATGGCTGCAGGGAAAGAGTCAGAGGGAGAGGTCAAGTGAAAGAGCTTGAGAGGAGCAATGAGCTTGGGCAGGTGGGCTGGGTCCATTCCCAGTTCTGAGGCCAAGGCTGAGGAGTGTGAATTTTATTCTGGGCCCTGAAGCTGTTGACCACGGTTTCGGAGGTGGTGGTGGGGTGTGACCATGCAAAAGCAGCTGATATCAGGAATCAGAAGGCACAGATAGGTCCTGAAGCCCTGAAATAGGACCATTGCAGCTGGGTCTGAGAGGCAGTTGCAGAATTATCTGGATTCAGTACTTTCTTACTTGGATATGGGGCCTAGAGAAAAGGGAGAAGGGAAGTCACATCTACACAGAAACATTTACTGAGTGCTGAAGGTCTGCAAAACCATAGACTGGCACCTGAGCAAGAGAGTCATTCTAAAGCTGATGCTGAAATCCTACCTGTAAGCAATATAGATGGATACATAGGTAGGCACATACGCAAGTAGCAGAGGAAGATATGGAAACTGCTAAAGGATACAAGGCAGAATAAAACAAATCGCTACAGAGATTCAAGGAAGACCAATTTGCTTCCCCTGGAGGGTCTCATAGACTATTTAGAGGGCAATGGACTTGTTTATGCAGCTCCTTTACTTTAGGAGCTTCAACAAACAGCTCCAATCTGATTCCATTAAAAGAGCTGGGAGTGGGTGGAATGTTTGGTCTCTTAACTACTGGCTTCAGCTTAAAGAGAAATCATCTTCTAGTGGATTCCAGGAACTCTCTTGCAGACAACCTATTCTGCAAGAGCAAGACCAGCCCTGACCGGTTTGGCTCAGTGGATAGAGCGTCGGCCTGAGTACTAAAGGGCCCCGGGTTCGATTCTGGTCAAGGGCATGTACCTTGGTTGTGGGCACATCCCCAGTAGGAGGTGTGCAGGAGGCAGCTGATCGATGTTTCTCTCTCATCGATGTTTCTAACTCTCTATCCCTCTCCCTTCCTCTCTGTAAAAAATCAATAAAATATATTTTAAATAAATAAATAAATAAATAAATAATCGATTTCTTGTTCCATTTACTTATTAAAAAAAAAGCACAAGACCACATCTCTGCCCTGCTCTATGTTTCCTTGGCCACTCATGCTCCCCCACCAGAGCACAACTCACCTTGCCCTGTAATTGCCTGGTTGTTTGTGCACTGGAGTCCTCCTCATAGGCACCAACTATTTCTAACTTGGTTTTCTGGTGCTAGTTCCTAGCATAGTGCCCATAGGGCCAACACTTCGCATAAATATTAGGTGAATGGGAGAACTAGCAATGGATTTGTATGTCAGGTCTTCTCAGGTTCTAGGGCAGAGGCTTTACTGGATTGTTTTGTTGTGGTTCTTGGTTGTAATTCTTGAGAGTGAATGTGGATTGCCTGCTATTCATATTAGTAAACAACATGCCCTAGTCATGGGCAGAGTTGGGCCCCAAACCATCTAGGTACACAGAGGCCCCCAAAAGTTCCGAGGTGCTTCATGGTGCAGGGAAGTTATAAAATCATTATAGTGGTGACTGTGTTCACCGCCCTTTGGCTCCATGTAATCTCAGATGAACTCTCATGACATTGAGACCTCGGGAGAATTATTGCTCTTAATGTTGAAACTGGAGTACAATTTCAGAATTGCAGATAAAGGCACACCAATGAGCCAAGGCATTGCTCCCTCTTTTCTCCTCACCCAGAATCTTGGTCCCAGAGATGGAGAGGGCTTGAGGAACAGAGGAGCTTCAGAGTGCATGTGCATGTGGGTATACAAACATGTGCACTCATCTATAAGCACATACAAAACTGGAGGCTTGTGGAGGAAGGATGGTGGTACACGGAAAAGGGATTCTAAGTACCTACTCTAAGTACCAGAATGAGAACATGCCCCACAAGACCCCAATGCTTTAAAGTTACACGTTTATGACTCTTCTAACAGATCCCTCAAGTATGGGTGGCCACTGTTGTTCATGGTCAAAATTTTGGGCTCTGTGCTTTCATCCTTGGATTGTATAGAACAGCAATGGATCCCCAAAGGAAAGCGTGAGATACTCAGTTCTGTCTGCACTCCAATTTGCCCTTTCTGTAGAAGGGGCATTTCTATTAGGCAATGACCATATTTGTTCCCTGACCCTTCACCTGTTGTTTTGGGGCACCAGCTAGTACTGGGTATTGCTGTGTGAGCACATTCTACTTGGTCCCAAAGTCCTGCCCTCTGCCTTCCCTCCATTTATATCAATTGGGTAATGAGTGTGGGGATTACAGCTTTACTTCTGACTTCTGATTGGTTGTAAAGTTCAATCATGGCCTTACATACTAATATCTGGGCATTAATGGAGGTTAGTGGGAATTGTGGTTAAGAGCAGGGTCTCTACATACATATAAGTAAAAATTTCCAGGTAAATATATTTATTTCTGGATGATATGAGCCCAATGACACACATATTTGCACTTTACATTGTTGATGTATATGCAAAACAAATGTGTGCATTCAGTGATCTTTACGTATTTTATCTTCTAAATTTCATTTTGTATTTATTAAACTATTTCTGACCAGAAAACAATTTAATAGTATATATGTTATAGTGTCTATACTTTTCTTTAACCAGGTAAAAAGAGAGAAATATTATTATAATTTCCATACTTCTTGAGTACACAATAATCTTACTCTTCATTGAATGTTGGTATTTCTGGAGATAGAATCACATGTACTTATAAACACTTCTTTAAATGAAATTATTCAAATATATTTCTTGTCAGGAATTCTATAACTAATAATATAAATAATCATCAAAATAGAGCTTTGTGGTGTGCATAATAACTCACTGATATTTTATGATGGAGACCTTTTAACAATCATTCAATAATTATTATGGCCCAGCTGGCGTGGCTCAGTGGTTGACCGTCGACCTATGAACCAGGTCACGGTTTAATTCCGGTTGCGGGCTCGATCCCCAGTGTGTGGTGTGCAGGAGGCAGCCGATCAATGATTCTCTCTCATCATTGATGTTTCTAGCTCCGTCTCCTTCGCCCTCTCCCTCTCCCTCTCCCTCTCCCTCTCTCTCTCCCTTCCTCTCTGAAATCAATAAGAAATATATTAAAAAGAATTATTATGATTTCCATTTGATAGGGTAAAACTAAGTTATGAAATATTAATAAACATACGGTATATAGTTCTAATCTAAAAAAGAAAAACAAGCAGGTCTCTAGGCTCTGGCCGTCGCAGCCTGGGTCTCAGCTCTGCCGCTTAGGAAATGCAGGGTTCTGGCAAGTCACTTTGTCTCTCTGAGTCTCAGTGCCTTTGTTTATAAAATGGGAATAATAGTATCTGCCTTTACAGGACAGTTCTAGAGGATTACAGATGTGTTGTAAAGTGCTTGGCCCCCTACGTGGCACATGGTACATGCTCAATAAATACGTATTATTTTTGTTCACCTCTCCCCTTTGCTTCAACAAGGTCATCAGAATTTCCCAAAGTATCTTCCTTTCCCTCGCCCCTGGGCCTGTGTGATGAGTATAATTTCAGTTTTATTTGATCTATATTAGCCTTTTATATACAGAGTTGTTCTCACTGCCTCTCCAAATGAATACAGATCTGTTCTGCAACAGGCCTTCTGTGCCCACGTACTCAAGGGGCTCTCCTTTCCTGGCATTCTCTACCCCATCAGCATTGGACTCCTCCTTAGTTTTTTTACAACCTCTCATGTGTCTGTTTATCTGTTTAAATTGTTAATCTGTTGCTCTTGACAGAGGAAGCGAGAGACTCATGTTTGGGGATCTCTGCTGCAGCTTCCAGGCCCAGCGCTGTGCTGGACTCAATAAATACTTTTGGATGAATGAATCAAAGATGATTGAGCTTTCTTAAAGGTTTCCATGGGCCAAAGGTGGGCTTGCAACATCATTTTCTTTTCTTGCTGAAAGCCATAGTCAGCGTTCTCTCTCACTTCAGGAGAGGAGTCTCCTTTTCACCGCACAGCATTTTTCCTCCCAGGCAGCACTCGCTCAGTCCTGGGAAATGCTCATTGAATGGGGTAGAAGGTGCTGGAGAGGCTTCACTTTCTCTGTTCACTCCGGAATGTGATCTGAGCGGTTGATAAGAATTTCAGCCAGTTATAAAACTGTGGTTGCCTATTAAGAAAACTTTTTATTGCTCAAATTAAATTTCCTGCTATCTTTCACTGACGACAGCTCTAGTCATGGAACAAAAATCAAACATTAACTGGCTGTATAGATTGGTTCTTGGAACCTGTAAGTGGGAGAGGACAAACCTCAGGCAGACACCAGTCTTGGTAGCAAAGGCAGGCGCACCATGGCGGCAGGGTCCCGGGGCCCAGGTCCGCTTGTCCTGGGCCTGCTGCTGTGTGTGCTCAGCTTGGCTGTGTCCCAGGCTGGGAAGCTGTTGTTGGTCCCCATGGATGGCAGCCACTGGCTAAGCTTTAGCAACGTCATCCAGCAGCTGCAGCAGAGGGGGCATGACATTGTGGTCTTGGCGCCTGAAGCCTCGATACACATCAAAGAAGGAGCGTTTTACACCTTGAAGACCTACCCCGTACCATACCGAAGGGAGGACTTGGTAGCATCTTTTATCGACGTTGGGCATAATGCATTTGATAAGCAGCCTTTCTTGCAGCGTCTGATCAAAACTTACAAGAAGGTCAAAGAGGACTCGGCCCTGTTATTGTCGGGGTGCTCCCATCTACTGCACAACAAGGAGCTGATGACCTCCCTGGCCGAAAGCGGCTTCGATGCTGTGTTGACAGACCCTTTTCTTCCTTGCGGCCCTATCGTGGCCCAGTATCTGGCTCTGCCTGTTGTGTTCTTCTTGAATGCACTGCCGTGCAGTCTGGACTATCAGGGTACCCAGTGCCCCAACCCACCATCCTACGTGCCCAGGAGTCTGTCATTTAACTCAGATCACATGACCTTCCTGCAACGGGTGAAGAACATGCTCATGGCCTTGACAGAGAACTTTATGTGCAATATGGTTTATTCACCGTATGGGCTACTGGCTTCGGAAGTCCTTCAGAAAGACGTGACTGTCGAGGACCTCATGAGCTCTGCATCGATCTGGCTTTTCAGAACGGACTTTGTGAAGCTTCCCCCCAGGCCCATCATGCCCAATATGGTTTTTATTGGTGGGATCAACTGCGCTAACAAAAAACCATTATCCCAGGTGTGTAATTTGAGTGGGAACTTCACAAGCCTATAATCTCACAAGTACTTTGGGTAGATGAACTTGTCACAGGTAGATCCTGAATGCCTAGGTTCACATGCCCTCTTGTTTAACTTCTAGCTTGCAAGTTTCCTAGGTTGAGTTGTAATTTATATCTGTCTTTGGAGTCATCTTCTCAGTTTTTTTCTTTGGATCTGAGGCTTTAGGAAAGCATACCGGAGGCATTTTATTCTGTGGGCTCCAGTGGATTGTCATCAATGAGAGGCAACAAGGGTTAAATGCCATATGCCCAGAGCACTGGGTTCAGGGTTCCTTTGCGGAGAACAAAAGTGTACAGGACTACCTGGCCTTTAATTGGGGCAGTGCAAACAGCTCACTGGTGATACAGCATGGCTGTGGAACAGCACAGCTGTGGAGAGGCTCAATAGTGTTATAGCTCAATTAGGAAACAGCAGGGCTACAAGGAGGACCTTGGGTAAGGCACTTCTCTAGCTAGACAATTCTACTCTGCTCTCTCTGCTCTGTTAGCCTGCTCTCTTCTGGGGAGAAGTCTTTGGGAGGGGGTGGGGAAGAGACGCAGTCTGCTTTTTCAGTTTTTGGTGAAAAGGGAAAATGCATTTTCTGAGCCAGAGAAGTCCTGCACCTGGTCCCAGATTGGTCTGTCCTCATGTAAATGAGGAATCCAAATCCTTGCAGTTTGAATAGTCCAAAAATTACTGTCCTGATTGGTCAGAATGGAGCCTCCCCGTAGGTGAAGATGTTGACGAGGGGCATATATTTATGGAGCTTCAATTGGACAGGGAAAGTCTCAGTTTCATAGGTTGAAATAGGATTCCAGGAACACTGCAAGCAGGCAGTTCAGTGTGGGAGGCAGGCAGCTTAGTGCAGGCTTCTTCCTGAATCAAGGTTTGCATGAGAGGGCCCTGTTTACAAACAGCTGCTAGGCTCTTTGTAAATTTGAGCCCCATTAGCCACCTGGAGCCTTTCTCAGTAGGTATTGTCTTTCTCAGGGTCTACATACTCTACACTTCCATTCCTGAGCCATGGTCGGCAAACTGCGGCTCGCGAGCCACATGCAGCTTTTTGGCCCCTTGAGTGTGGCTCTTCCTAAGCCTCAGGAGTACCATAATTAAGTTAATAACAATGTACCTACCTATATAGTTTAAGTTTAAAAAATTTGGCTCTCAAAAGAAATTTCAATCGTTGTACTGTTGATATTTGGCTCTGTTGACTAATGAAAATCTTTTCCTATTTATCAAACCTTACCTGTTTGCATTCTTAAAGGGCCAATGTGTTTCCCAGCAAATAAAAAGCCATGGGTCTGGACAGTCAGAGAGTCCACTTCACTAGAAAGTGGAGCCTCCCCTGACTCCCCCATGCCTCCTAAATTTATATTTCATGTCTAGTTTATTTAATTTACATTGCAGCCCTTTTCCAGATTCCTGAACCCTTGCAGCTGCGGATAAGACCCCAGCAATATATGAAGACAAATTTTTCCTTAGATTGTTTAAAGTTTGGCTTTATTGTCTTATAGCTTCCAATGGAGCTATTAAACCATCCTTCTGTTTTTTGGTGTGTTTTTTTTTTTTTTTCTTTTTTTACTTATTCCACAGTAAGGGAAGAAAGAGGATGATAAATCTAAGGGCTACACCTGTCCACTTGCACCTGAATACCTGTTGACATCTTATCTATGTATCAGACAGTCTGGGACAGACCCTGATGTATTCCTATCACCTGAAGCAGCATAGGTCTCGACCCTTTAATACAGTTCCTCATGTTGTGGTGACCCCCAACCATAAAATTATTTTCATTGCTACTTCATAACTGTAATTTTGCTACTGTTATGAATAGTAATGTAAATATCTGATATGCAGGATGGTCTTAGGTGACCCCTGTGAAAGGGTCGTTCGACCCCCAAAGGGGTCATGACCCACAGGTTGAGAACCGCTGCTCTAGAGGATATTGTCTTATTCCCAATGCTCTTGATAAAAGTCCTGAGCTCCAAGAGTAAAGATAAAATCTTTGTTCTATAAAGAGAGTCCTCAGAGAAAGTACAGCCTGGCACTGGACATACCTTTGGAATGTCTGAAAGACAAAAGATGGTAGAACAGCATTGAGAGCAAATGAATAGAATGCAAGAATTCCAAGATGTCATTCCCCTCTCAGGGTGAGGGACTGTCTTTATGGACATGTAGAGATTCAGAGATGATATTCATACATATGTTTTGGGTCTGGGGAAAATAACTGAACAGAAAATCAGTAAGAATAGAGACTCGAAGATGGTGAGAAGAAAAACTGGTATTTGCTGGTGAGTGTGAATGAATAATGATAAAGTGACATGTTTCCAACATGCTAAGTGCTTATAAGCGTTCTTATAAAACAAAAGACATTTGGAAGGGAAAAATCTAATAAAAGCCTGGAACTAAAAATACAGTGGGGCCTTGACTTACGAGTGTCCGACTAACGAGTTTTTTGAGATACCAGCTGTCTCTCGGCAGATTTTTTGCAGAGTTGATAGAGTAATTTGAGTTAACGAGCTCCTTAACGAGCTCGGTCTCGGAACGAATTAAACTCGTAAGTCAAGGCCCCACTGTACTAAACTCTCAGCCAAAGTAAGGAACTAGTTTAAAGGCCTCATTGGAGCCAGTAGGTACTTTCACTTTAGTAGTGGCCCCGTTTTTTTTGAAAGGTGATCAGGGGTGAGGGAATCAAGGGTTATTTTCAGTTAACAAACACGTTACTCCACTCTTTGGCTATTCCAGAGTCTGTGAAATTGCAGCAAGGTTTAGGGCAAGTTTTGCCAAGTACGGGGTGGACCTCACCATTATCGAATCCCATAAAAGCTGGTCTAGGATAGACTTGGCCATGCTAACACAATCTGCGTAGTTGGCCTTTGTGAACTGTCAATGAACTTCCAGGCCATTTAACTATGGCCAGTGCTGATATTTAACTTTGGGTGTTCAAGGCCCTACGGGTTCCATTAATGTAAGCACACCCCGCTGGTTGCAGAGTGAGTGTGCGAGCGTTTGCAAGGAGGGGAAATTAGATTAGTCTCTTTCTAGACTAGACAATAGTGGTTTCACTCAGGAGTGAAGGTAATGGTTGCTCGGAGCTGAGCTGTATCTCCACAGGAATGAGGGCTGTGGTACATTTCTTAAGGAGAAAGGACCTTGGAAAAAGCATCTTCAGGATGTTCTTGCTGCAAAGCAAAAATACAGCCTGATGGTGGAGAGGATGATACTGGCCTCCTTGACTTGTCAGATGAGACCAGTGGCCAAGTCTGAGACAAAGCGTTTGGAGCCAGAGGACTGGAACAGAGTCTGGGGACTAGACAGTGGGTGTCCTTGGAGGAAGGCTGCTCAGTGTTTTTCCTGGTCAGGCTCTGAATCAGGCTTGGCAGGAGCCTCTGAACATTGTGTGTGCTGAGCCCTGTCAGAAGGCTCCTCCATCTCACATCCAGGGTGCCCAATGTCCTGGCCTAACCAGGACTGTCAGGTTTTAACACCAGAAGTCCCATGCCTGAGGAAACCCCTCAGTTTTGGGAAAACCCTGCTACATTGTACAATCTCACTAATGCCCTTGGCATTCTTTGGAGACATATACTAGTAAAACCATTTGGAGATTCTCAGGGGGTTGATTAGATCATTAATAACCTACAGTTCGGGGGTGGGGGGATTACCTTATTTATGTCTTGCTCTGTTTCCTCTAAATGAATTGCCACGGTGAGTATGGCATGTGTAGCCTTTCATGTATGTGGGTGCAGGTGTGTGCTGTGCATGTGTGCATGTGCGTGTGTATGTTTGCTGAAAGCTGGAGTTGGCTTTGAAGGTTGGGCACAGGGCAATGTGAGTGAAGATTATTGCCAAGGGTTGAATCTAGGGGCTTCCTTACTCTCTTTCTGGAGACAGGGCCACCATTCTTAATTTTGCCATTCTTCTGACTGTTGCATCCTTTCAGAGCTTTTGTTTGACACCCATCTCTAAAATCTGTTCCATATTACTTCAGGGATTGGTCTTTGATAGGTCGTAATCTGTCATCAACTTACTAGTTGGGAACATCTGCCATCACTGTTCCTCACCCCTATACACACAGACAGTTTCCTTTGCTGGAGATAGTGGAGTGACCTTCTAGGTGTGACCTTCCTTTGATGACAGTGATGGACACGTTGCTATAAGGAATCAGCTTCTGGAACAGGACATGAGCAGTCAATGAGAGTCCTTTGCTGGGTGGGTTGGGACTTAGTGCCTGTTCATCCTTCCCACGGTGGCTTTGGTAACCAAGGTTTACGCCTATGCCCTTGCTATTTTTTGAACTGCACAGAAGGGGCTCAGATCATTGGTGGACAATTGGTCAGGGTTCCTGTCCTTCACTTTGTATCTCTCAGACCTACAGAGGAGCTTATAGCAAAGATAGGGTCCAACATATTTCTGCATATTCTTCTTGCTAAAGCAGGAAAGTTGATTTGCACTCTTTAGAAAGCTCTTCTCCAGGAAAGGTGGGGAAATGCAAGGCTGACTGGTTACATTTCAGCACTGAGTTGACATGAATATGATATTTAATCATCCGAACGACTGGCTGCTGTGTGGAAGACTCTGCTATAGGCTGTGGGGAAGCAAGCATTGTTAAAGGTTGTCTTCTATTTGTTTTTTCCTTGTAAACCTAATCCTTAACACTCTGTAGCTTTGTGCTTTTACTCTATTCATTCTTCCTCCATACAAAGAATATTCCAGAAGCCTTGAAAAACACTACAGACCTTTACTATAGACATCCTTAAAGGGGAAGTGCAAGAGTTTTAGAGTCCATAGAAAGCTTACACACACACACACACACACACACACACAACCTTTCATCACATTCTTAGGAGGAAGATATCTGAGTCACAGCTTAATGTATGCAGTCACCCAAAGAATATAAGAAAACATTAACTGGGAATTTCTCTTTTGCCTCCAGGAGTTTGAAGCCTATGTAAATGCCTCTGGAGAACATGGAATTGTGGTTTTCTCTTTGGGCTCAATGGTCTCGGATATTCCAGAGAAGAAAGCCATGGAAATTGCTGATGCTTTGGGCAAAATACCTCAGACAGTAAGGAGATGCTAAACTTTTCTATCTTCACAAGAGCTGTAACCCCAGGCCTCCAGCTCTGAATTAATTCTCTGAGTTGGACTTTAGATTCAGGTTTCCCCTGCCACTCCCCAATTATGAATCCTAAGTTCTTCTTTTTTTTGCAATTCCACTCTTAACTACTCTGTTAAACTATGGCCCTCTTCGCTTGGACGTCTCATTGTCTCTAAGAGACTCAAGGAGAATCTATTAAAAATAAAATAAATAGGATATTGTTTCTTCATATTAAATAAGAATATTTCTCCAAAAAGCTGTTAGTTAGGACAATGGTGTATAATTATATTTCTGCATCCACTCATTTATTAAGTAGACTGTCCCTTGGAGTGCAGAAAAGTGCAAAAATCATAAATATATAGCTTGATGAATTTTCATAAATTCACAAAATGTTAGTAGCCCCCAGAGCCTTCTTAGTCACTACCTCCCTCACCCTCGCCCCCTGGTTATGCTCTTTCTGAAGACTCTACTTTCTAGCTACTATAGCAGTCTTTATAAAAAATCATATTCTGGTCTTTAAACCCTCTTCTCATCTGTAAGGTGCTGTGGCGGTACACTGGGACTCGACCATCGAATCTTGCGAAGAATACAATCCTGGTCAACTGGCTGCCACAAAATGATCTGCTCGGTATGTGGAGAGGATTTAATGTGTAGGTCAAACCAAGGTTAAATTAAGAAAGTGGGTTAGGCACGGCCATTTAGCTGGAAAATGTTATGGCCAACATATTCCACACTGCTTTTTACCCAGCAGGGCATCTCAACCACACTCTCTTCTGCAAACTTCTATAAGGGACACTGTGGACAGCACGGAGTGTGTGGAGTGCTTTCACAACCGAGTGATGCCAGAATGTGACACTCAGAGACCTGACCACCGGCATCCCTCCCTCTTTGCTTCCCAGGTCACCCGAAGACTCGTGCCTTTATCACACATTCTGGCTCCCATGGTATCTATGAAGGAATATGCAACGGCGTTCCGATGGTGATGATGCCTCTGTTCGGCGATCAGATGGACAATGCAAAGCGCATGGAGACCCGGGGAGCAGGAGTGTCCTTGAATGTCCTGGAAATGACTTCTGAAGATTTAGAAAATGCCCTCAAAACTGTCATCAATGACAAAAGGTAAGAGAGAAGGTACGGAGGAATACTGCTTGTGTTTTGCCCATTCCATTCACAGTAATTATTCAAACAAATACATGAAAATCTATTTATAAGTAAGATCATTTGGGATTATTATTCATTTTATAAAAGCATGCTTGATTCCTATAGAATCATGGGAATGATTTTAAATATTATTTTCTCTCATAAATTTATAACTTAATTTAAAAAATAATGTCACCATAATAGATGCCTGCTCTATAATTTCCTGCAAAGAGAGAAATATTCCATTACAGGAAGCATAGTGTCCATAAAATAGAAACAAACCAGGTGCTTCAAAGTACAGCTTTTCCCAGCACTGAAATCTCTGAGAAATTTTGTTCTTGGGGATTTATAAATGGGGGCTCATGTGAAATCACTTATAATAAAATGCTCACTCATTTATGGATAATAAAGACCATTAAACTGATGAACAAAAATAGATACAGAGGCAGAGCAGCATCGAACAGACTGTCAAACTACAGCGGGAAGGCCGGGGAGGGTTGGGGGTGGGGTAAGAGATCAACCTAAGGACTTGTATGCATGCATATAAAGCATAACCAATGGACGCAAGACACTGGGGGGTAGGGGAGGCCGGGGGAATGTCAAGGGGGAAAAAAGGAGACATATGTAATACTCTTTGTAATACTTTAAGCAATAAAACAAAATTTAAAAAAATAAAAATAAAAACGTGAAAAAAAATAATGAAAAATGAAGACAGGTTTGTTCAAATGTGGCTGAAGATGATTCAAAAGGCAAAAGCCATCAGATCAAATGGTCTCTACATGAAATTTATTGTCAAGCTCACTAGTAATAGGCTGATTAAAACCTTATGGAAATAAGTGATACCCAGAGGTAGATTTCATCCAACAGTTAATAATGTATGTGCAACTACATTTCTGCATGTGTGGATGCATGCATGTGTGTGTGTGTGCACGCCTGCCTATGAGAGTGTCAAGAGCTTTCGCCTGTAATTGCTTCATTTCAGAAAAGACATCAGGCAAGAGGGCAGATGTGAAACCTGTGTGTTCAGATAGGAGGAGATAGGACACGGGCACACACTGAGCCTTGACAAGGGGAAAAGGCGGGGAGATGATAGGGCTTGCACGTGTGTGTGTGTGTGTGTGTGTGTGTGTGTGTGTGTGTGTGTAATGCCAGTGGATAAAAAAAGAAACATCCACAGAACCCCAGGGCAAAGTGCCCAGGGTGTTGGGTGACAACCTACCCAGAGCAGTTAGTGTGGTTGGCATCCCTTCATTCCAATTGGCTGCTTCTAGAAGTCTGGCTTGTCAGGGTCACTCCGTGCTACTCACACATCAGTACAATTAAGACCCAACTTTTCTCCATGTGCTCATGAAATTTATTTTCTATGCTCACACTAGTAATATAATTTATATCTTTTGTTCAGTGGTATAGATACCTATTTGAAACCTAAAAATGACTTGGTAGAAGTTGTTTAGTACATTATTGTTTTTTCAAAACACTAATCCATCAGCTCAAGTTATTAATTATCTTTATCTATTCATTGTTGAACCATCTATCTGGTTGTGAATCTCCATATTTCCAACACTCTAAGCTTAGAGGGTACCTACATGATATAAAGAAAATTGGAAAAAGTTTAAAGAGCAGATTATGCAACCAGGCCATAACAGGTGCTCAATAAATATTGAATGAATTAATGAAAGTCCAAGGAAATCTGTCTTAAGAGAAATTTTATATATAAGAAAGATGTTTAACCGAACTTATGGGCACAATATTAATATTACATTATAGTAATATATCCAAATAAAATGACAGACATGTTTAAGGACAGCAATTATCATAATTGCTTCTGAATAGAAGTGCTTTTTTATCTTTCCTCTCTTTTTTCCTTCCCTTTTCCTTTTGTTTCCCTTCCTCTCTTCCTCCTCTTCCTCCTCCTTCTCTTCCTTCTCCTGGTGCATGTATACTAAGCATTGAAATATCTAACCCATTTTGAATTTGGATGTTCTGATTCAGTTATCAACACTGCCAAATACACAGGAATCCATTTTGCTTTAACAGGCTGCATAGACACAACCTCATGCAAAATTTAGATCAATTAGGTTGACAGTTTACCATTGTCTTGGAGATGGCACTTAAAAATGGCTTTTACTTTGGCTAGATGTGATTGTTTACACATTTGAACAAGAAATCATTCATAATTTCTGACATGACCTTTTTCTTTATTCCTTTATCTAACTATAAACAACATATAATTAATTTCCTACAAAAATATCACTGAAAAGAAAAGAAGGTTTCAAACAATTTAAAATTGTAATTGTAATTTTTTGGCTTCCAGTCCCCTCCCCTCCCTTCCCCTCCCCCCTCTCTTTCTTTCTTTCTTTCTCTCTCTCTCTCTCTCTCTCTCTCTCTCTCTCTCTCTCTCTCTCTCTCTCTCTCTCTCTCTCTCTCTCTCTCTCTCTCTCTCTCTCTCTCTCTCTCTCTCTCTCTCTCTCTCTCTCTCTCTCTCTCTCTCTCTCTCTCTCTCTCTCTCTCTCTCTCTCTCTCTCTCTCTCTCTCTCTCTCTCTCTCTCTCTCTTTCTATAACAAACTGTGTGTGTGTGTGTGTGTGTGTGTATTTGCTATTTATAATAGAGATATATTTTCTCTACCAAGTTTGGAAAAACCAGATGTGCTTCTCACTGGAAGCAAGCATACAAGCATAAATGGAGGTTAGTTCACTGCCTTCGATGTTCCAGGTGTTAACATAGCTGTCTGTGTTTAGCTATAAGGAAAACATCATGCGCCTCTCCAGCCTCCACAAGGACCGCCCCATTGAGCCACTGGACCTGGCTGTGTTCTGGGTGGAGTTCGTGATGAGGCACAAGGGAGCCCCGCATCTGCGCCCCGCGGCCCACCTCCTCACCTGGTACCAGTACCATTCTTTGGATGTGATTGGCTTCCTCTTGGCCATTGTGCTGGGAGTTGCCTTTGTTGTCTATAAATGCTGTGCCTTCGGCTATGGCAAATGCTTTGGGAAAAAAAGGCGAGTTAAGAAATCTAACAAATCCAAGGCACACTGAGAAATGGGTGAAAAATGAGGTGATCCAAATTTGCAGTCAGTGTGAAATACATGTCATGCTCATTGAAGAAAACTTTACTGTAAGTTAGACACCCAGAGTGTTTTTTTTTAATAAAAATAATTTAATTGCTAGTCACACCTCCAGTTAGAAATATTTGAAAATGTTTTCTGCCCCCTTCAATACCTTTCATCTGGACTATATTTTCTACCGTTCAAAGGACTTGCCAAGAGGTTTGGACAGGTCCCTCCTTCACTCTGCATTACTTTTCTTACTCAGAAATGAGGCCTGTTTGGGAACCACTGCTGTCCCCGCCTGAGATGACATCATCGGGCTTCTATAGACTGTTGTGATCAATTCCTTCAGTAGTAATGGCAGGTCCTAATTTATTCCTATACTTCACAGATATCACTTTGCATATTTAAAGAAGAAAACCGTTATTCCTTTAAAGCCTAGTGCCTTGTACTTGAATGAATGAATGACACAGAGCCCTTGGAGAACAAAGTATGATTTCTTTCTTTGGGGGAAAAGAGTAATGTGTGAAATTGATAGGTAATGTGTTTGAAAGGATAACCATTGCTTGTGCCAAATGGATCTGAATTTGATAAAAGCCCAAAGTGCAATGTCTGGCTAGTATATTTTTCTCTGATGTGTGTTTCCCACAGCTAAAAACATATCAATAAATTTATATAAATTATATTTCTTAGATATTCTCCTTTTCATTGATGTTGCTTTTATTTATTGTTAAATTACATGTTCCCATTACAAAAGTAATGTACGATTATGGCAGAAAATTTGAAAAATACAGAGTTGTACACACACACACACACACACACACACACACACAATAAAAATCACCTGAGATCCTCAGAAATAATCACAGTTGCTATTTTGGCAAGTGCACATAAAATATCGCAGCTATGCCCTATATTTGCAGCGTTGTTTACCATTCTTTCTCCACTTCATACTATCACAAGCTTTCTCCCAGGTCTTATAGAAACATTTCGTTTGTTTTTAATAGCCAACGACTATTCTATTGCATGGATATACCAGGATGTATTTAACCACAACTTCTGGGTGGATCCACTTTTATAAAAAAAAAAAAAGAAGAAGAAGCTAAGGCTGAGCCTATATTCCTGACTATTTCCGTAGGAAAGACTTTACAACTAATCAGTGGTTGTCTCAGTTTGGGTTTCTCTGCAGTGATGATTCAGGTCAAGTAGTTTATTTGGGAACTGAAGGTGCATGGGCAGTGGGATGGGGCGTGCTAGCCACCAAGAAGCTGGCTCTCCCCTGGGTGACAGAGCTGAATCCCCCTGGTGGATGCTGGGAGCCAGCGCACAAAATGCACCCAACTTACGCTGGGGAGAAGCAAGGCCCTTGGGTATCTGAACACTTGCCTTGCCAGTGAACGACTGTTCCCAACGGTTACTAATTTCCTGCACTTCCAGTCTGCATGGTGCCTCTGGAAGCCAGAGAGCCCCCGGGGAGGGGAGGGAAATGCTGTGTGGTGTTGGAGGTGGCTTTGTCACTAAAGGGAGAAGAACACAGGACGTCTGGGTGGGGCACGGCCGCTTCTCATTGCAAGTGGTTTGAAATATTCCCAAACTGCATCCTGAGATGGTGTGAGAAAGCCAGGTTCCCACACCTCTGCAATACAAAGTAATATATTGCCAAAAAACAACAACAACATCAGTTTGTTAAGAGAAACGTGGGAACTTGTTTTAAATTTGCTCCTGCCATGTACTGGAAGTATTTTCTCCACTTAATTATTTTTGCCTTTAATTTTTTTTTCTCACACCTCCGCTTGTTGCTTTGTGTTATTTGCAAACGTTTTAAACATACATGCTTCAAGTTGGAGCTGGGTGTCACGTGGATAGCTAGGGCTTCTCCTGACTCTGCCTCATTTGCTCCTCCCCAGGCTGCTTTTGGAACACAAGCTCTTCACACCAGCTCCCTCCCCACATTTTTAGACCCTGCGGTGACTCTTGCATTGGGTCCACCCTCTTTCTAGGCACTTCCGGTCCACCCAGTGACCATATCCTGGCCTTGCTGCCCATGTTCCATGCCCCCTCGTCTCTCTCAGGGACCCTGAGCTGCTCTGACCTCTCACGGGCTCCTCTGCACCTTCGTGTTTCTAGTCCCACAAGTAAGAGAACCCAACTCTAGACACCTTAAGTAAGTAGGGGGTCTTTTTGTAAGGAGATGGGGTTCCTAGGGACTCAGGCTCATGGCCAAGCGTACAAAAGAGCTGGGATGATTGGAGCCTCTCTTGTCTTCTTCTGTCCTTACATGCTCTGAGTGACAGCTTTGCTCTTCCCCATTCTCTTGTCCTATTCTGCTCCTCTGTCCCCACCTCATTCACAGGGAATGCCCTTCCGTGAGGACAGGGACCTTCTTGCTGCCATCCAGAGTCTGGACGACAGGAAAGTGGGGCCTTTGCATCCGCTTGTGACCCTCAACAACCCCCCTTAAGACAGCCATTGGGGTCTCTGAGGCTAGGGACCCCCCCATCATCCCCACCATGTGGGCATCTCACACTGGAGTGTCCTGCGACCCCGACAGCCCTGCCTGTGGGCTTTGAAATCAGGGCAAGAGCTGTGTTAAGCCCCTGAAAACCCGTTCCATTCTGGGAGCATTGTCCTGCCCCCTCCAGAGTCACTTACCGGTGGCCGGGCCCTGAGGGCCAGCTTTCTGCTTCATTAACAGGGTACACCTTGCTGTGAGGAAAGGGACCTTCTTGCTGTCATCCAGGGTCTGGACCGAAGGAAGGTGAGGTGTTTGTGACCTGTTGTGACCCTCCTCGGCATTCATGTGGCCCCCCCTGCCCTAACCACTTGACCACTTCCGGCTGTTGACCTGGCCCCACCCCCTCGTTCACGTGATCACTTCCAGCTGTTCACCTAGCCCCTCCTCCTTGTTGACTTGACTTCCAGCTGGTCACCTAGCCCACACCCTTGTTCATGAGACCACTTCGGCAGTTCATCTGGCCCTTATTCACTTGACCACTTCTGGCTGGTCACCTGGGCCCTCCCCCTTGTTCCCGAGTCCCCGCCCCTATGTTCACCTGAGCACTTAGCCACATTGGCCTGGCTGCTTTGCTCCTCATGCAGAAGGGTGGACTTCCCAATCTCTGAAAGTTTGGGTAAGTCTCTAACACCCACAGCCTCAGATCACAGGCTGCCTCCCACCCAGCGGGGAGGGCTGCAAGAAGGGGGATGCCACCCCCCCTTTCAGGCAGCCATGGAGGTCTCTGAGGCTAGGGACCTCCCTTCGTCCCCACCATGGGGGCATCTCACACTGGAGTGCCATGCGACCCTGACAGCCCTGCCTGTGGGTTTTGAAATCAGGGCAAGAGCTGTGGTAAGCCCGTGAAATCCGTTTCATTCTGCAATGTCCTGCCCCTTCTAGAGTCACTTATTGCTCACTGGCCCTGAGGGCCAGTTCCTGATTTCTCAACCCCAAGATCCTATAGGACACTGACTGGGTTCTGTCTTGCCCAGAGTTCTGAATTCCTGGGAGGAAGAATCTGATTAGTCCAGCTAGACAGGTGTCCTCTCCTTTTCTAATCAGGAGTGTTGGGGGGAGGGGGATTACAGAGGGAAACCATGACCACCAGGAGCCCATAACTGTGACCCGAAGGGTCAAAGAAGAGGGAAACTTGTCTCTGGAGAGGTGCCACCAAATGCGTCCACTACACACTCACATTTCCCCCACTTCTTGCCTTGGCCCTTTTCATACCTTTAAGCTCACAGGTTTCTACAATGTTTTCTTATTTTCAAGTTAGTTCCCTTAGAAATGGAGGTGGGAAGCTCTGCAGAGTGAAAGCACAAGAGTGGCTGATTTTATGAATGGATTGCATGTGAGTCAAATATTCCTGTCACGATCTGAGAAATAAAAAGTATTTTCACTTTGGAAAACCAAGCAGAGTCCACTTCTTTCTCCTTGATCTCATTGTCTTTGTGTTCTCTCTAAATAATGTTTTCAGGGGCATCTCATTTTTTTTCTGTACTTACACACTCACCATGTGTATAAGAAAAAAATGGTCATATTCACCACTCCCACTAGCCATGTCCTTCACAATGTAGCTTTGCAGCTCTTCTGGTTAAGAGGAGAGATCTATTACCCTATTCAGGGGCATCTCAAACTGCGGCTTGCGAGCCACATGCGGCTCTTTGGCCCCTTGAGTGTGGCTCGCGAGCCGCAGTTTGCTGACCACTGCCCTAGCCCTTGCATCTGGGCTGGCCTGTGACCTGCATGGACTAATAGAATATGGCAGAGGTGATGGTGCCAATTCTAAGTCTAGGCTTCAAGAGGCCTTCATGTTTCTGCTCACTCTCTTGGAAGCCCACCTAGCTGCTATGAGACCAACTATCCCAATCATCCTAGTCACTTCAGCCAATAGCTAGCCAACTTAGAGGTGATGGTGCCAATTCTAAGTCTAGGCTTCAAGAAGCCTTCATGTTTCTGTTCACTCTCTTGGAAGCCCACCTAGCTTCTATGAGACACAACTATCCCAGTCATCCTAGTCACTTCAGCCAATAGCTAGCCAACTGCAAGATCCCTGTGTGTGAGGCCATCCTAGACCAGCCAGCCTTCACTTAACCCACTGGCTACTGCAGATGTATGAGTGACTTCAGTTGTGCTTGGCTGGACAAGGTGCAGATCAACAGAACCACCCAGCTCACCACCCATTGACTTGCAAACACTAATAAGTGTTTTTGAAGAGGCTTGTTACACAGCAGTGGCTGATACATTCACTTTCAGCTCTAAATTCATGACATCTTATGTGTTGCATCTTAGACCCTCAGAAGACAAAGGTGTGTCCTATCTACCTCTGTATCCATCACCGAATGGGGACCCCCGCTTAACTGCTGTGGAATTGCAACCATGCCACTTAGAGTAATCGATGGAAGAGAAAAGAAGGCTTAGAGGGGAGTGGGAGGAGGTAGGACAGAGGGGTCTGTGAAGGATGGGGCTTGTGATAATTGTCTCCTTGTGTCTATTTCATATCAGTCAACATTGTTCCGAAGGGCAGACCAAGGAACAATGCATACTTTTTATGGGAAGATGTGCTTGGCACTATACGA